TTAAGGGGCATCCTAGACATTACGTCTACTCTTTTAACCTAGGAGGACACTTGGCTAGAACGTCTCCTGAATATGCGAGGGAAGAGTTTCTTCGTCACCTATGCAAGGGAATGGCAGTGACTCGGCCCTGCATGGAGTGTCCCTAGCTGTGCAGGCACAGAGAGATCCTAGAGGAGAAATGCACAGACAGACATAGAAGCACCATATCTGCACACGACGAAGCCGCACGCACAGTGACTGAGAAGCAAGCGCGATGGGCGCCCGCCAGGCCCACGAGGGAGGCCCTGCTCGCACCCACCTGCCGCGGCCCTGCGCCTCCCCCAGCTCCTTCTGCAGCCTGGCATTCTTCTCCTCCTCCTCCAGCAGCCGCCGCTTCACGGAGCGCAGCTCCTGCTGGGCCTCGCACTTGATATCATTGGCGACCACCACCGCCGTCCGCAGGTCTGCCTGGAACTGCCGCCACTCCTCAGTCTCCTCCTGAAAATGCCAGAGTGCACACCTGGGTCAGACGCCTGCCAACGCCTGTACCTGGGCAGGAGCTCTGGAGTCCCCAGGGTGGCCACTGAGAAAGAGCGGCCAGCAGTCCTCAGTGAGTTCCTGCTTTAATGGTATCTCACTAGTAGGTAGGAAAAGGCACAGGTGAGAACCACGTCCTCATGTCATCAGAGTGCTCCATTCTGAAACTGAATGACTACTCTAATTTTACTTCCTGCCAACAAGAATTTATGGTCTTGGGGTCCACGCCATGAAAATGGTCCATGACAAAGCAGGTTAGAGAGTGACCAGGTATTTGCCCAAGGTTTCCAAACCTAAGGCGGGGGACACTTATAATGAGATGCTGGAGGGACTCCCATCCACTGCAATAACCCACATCTCACCTTCACATCAGAGAATGTTCTGCAAGTTCTTTGGCTGTGGCTGAACCAAGAATGACTTTTGAGTTCTTATTAGACGACTGTCAAAGTCAAATCGCGTTTCAATCAAGAACTCATTCAGCCAGGAGTTAATGCTAGGCTTCAGGAGCTTTGAGGGTGTAAGCTGGTTCCAATTCTTGCTCATGTGGTAGGTTCGAGAAGTGGCTGAACCATCAACGAGTTAACTTTCAAAGAGTCAACTCTTTAGAGGGAGCAGCTTGCCAGAGAAGCACAAAATCAGAAAGGAAATCATCACCGGCAGTTGTCTTATGTCCTGCCAAATGCAATGACAGGCAAGAAACATTCTGATGCCTAATGGTTTTCAATAACAGCCCATGTTCTGATTAGTACCAGTCCTAGAATTTTGAAATTATTTTGTAAGGAACTAAACTGCTGGATTGGGGATGCAGGTTTGCAAATTGCTGGAAAATCAGAAAAGAAACATTCTGTGTTAAAAAAAAAAAAGTGACCTTAAATTTGAAGATGTAGGATATAGCATGTGGAGTCCTAAGCTGTCAGGATGCACACGGAGATTTCATTAGGGTTCAAGTTGTATAGCCTGGCCTGTATCATAGGATCTATGTAAGAAATAACAGCATCTCATACAATAAACTGTTTAGGGCCACCACAGAAACTCAGGACTTGTCCTTAAAATAGTGTATATATAAAGCACTGCAAGTTATGACTTGGCTACACTTTCAAAGACATACAGTATAGAAGCAAGACAAATAGACAAACAAAAGCAGACACAAAAGCAGACGAGAATGGCCCCACGATCGTTTCAACAGGGAACACTAGAGAGTCTGGTTTTCCTGCTCGCCTCCGACCTTCACTTAGAATTCACACTCTTTGGTGGCCAGAGGGTAGAGGTAGCCCTTACCTAGAGGCCGTTTTACATAAAAGTCATAAACAAAGGAATGAAGGATTAATTGGGACAGGTTTGACAGGAGAAGCATAACAGAATTCTGAGAAGAAATCCACTCTTTCCAATTATCATGAAATCCATGACAGAGAACATCAGACCCACAGAATCAGGAGCCAGCCCACGAACAGCCCTCCTGCTGCTGGGAATAAAAATTAGGCAAACTGTACAGCCTGACATTTAGAACCCACTGAATCTCATTTTCAAAGACTATGTTTTATATATGACAGATATGTGAAAATTCAAAATAATTTCCTAATATCTAAGACTCTCAAAGGACACTTATTCCTGATTGGGGAAAGATAACACCACATCAGTTAAAGCCTAAAATACTTTTTATAATCTTGTCTGTAAACCATTTAAATTTTAAATAATACTGAATTTTGAACTCACCTTAGCAATACCTTACCCAATACTCCTAACAAGTTTAAAAGCTTCTCAAAACACAGTCTGTGTTATTTTTCAGTCTTGGATATATGATGATATAACCACTGGGGGTGGGCCTGAAATTTGTTTTGGACATTAATTATACATTGGTTTCCTTGGTGTGTCTGTGCTGACTTTTGAGGATTTAGGGACAATACAACCATATTCTCAACAGCAATATATGAAAAACAAAAACAAAACAACACAGAAACCTGTCTTGACTTTATTCTTTCCAAGCATGGCGCTGTGTTTGGAAATACACACGCCTAGATTTTCAGTTGTACCCTCAAGTGTGACCACTGAGAAGGGAGTGGATGACACTAATAGGGAATGCTGAGGTTGTACAGTTCTGTGGCATACCATGTCTAGTGNATTCAGCCCTGCATGGAGTGTCCCTACCTGTGCAGGCGCAGAGAGATCCTAGAGGAGAAACACAGACACAGAAGCACCATATCTGCACATGACGAAGCCACACGCACAGTGACTGAGAAGTAAGCGCGATGGGCGCCCACCAGGCCCATGAGGGAGGCCCTGCTCGCACTCACCTGCTGCGGCCCTGCGCCTCCCCCAGCTCCTTCTGCAGCCTGGTGTTCTTCTCCTCCTCCTCCAGCAGCCGCCGCTTCACGGCGCGCAGCTCCTGCTCGGCCTCGCACTTGATATTATTGGCGACCACCACCGCTGTCTGCAGCTCTGCCTGGAACTGCCGCCACTCCTCAGTCTCCTCCTGAAAATGCCAGAGTGCACACCTCGGTCAGACGCCAGCCAACGCCTGTACCTGGGCAGGAGCTCCGGACTCCCCAGGGTGGCCACTGAGAAAGAGCAGCCAGCAGTCCTCAGTGAGTCACTGCTTTAATGGTATCTCACTAGTAGGTAGGAAAAGGCACAGGTGACAACAACATCCTCATGTCATCAGAGTGCTTCATCCTGAAACTGAATGACTACTCTAATTTTACTTCCTGCCAACAAGAATTTATGGTCTTCGGGTCCACGCCATGGAAATGGTCCATGACAAAGCAGGTTAGAAAGTGACCAGGTATTTGCCCAAGGTTTCCAAACCTAAGGCGAGTGAGCCACGGGCCGGCCCTGACATGCACATCTTATAGCCTTTTGAAACTTACCAGCCAGCCAGCACTAGCCAAGAGGGTTTATCATTCTCCTGACCCTGGCAATATGAATGTAAATGCCTTTGGTTTTCAACCTCCAACAGTGAGGTTCTCTAAACTTTTCTTAATTTTCTCCAGTTCTCTCCATCCTGCTATTGGAGTCATTTATGTTTATACTTGGTCATGTCAATCCGCTAGTTAAAATTCCCCAATGGTTCCTCTCAAGCTCTAATCTAGAGCAGCAGTTGTCTATTAAGAATATAAATCAGAATCACCAGAGAAGGTTTCAAAAAATACTCATGGTCAGGTCCAACTCTGGCAGTACTAACTGAGCATGTGGAGCATCATCAGAGTTTTGTGTCTGGGGTCAATGCTGCAAAGTTAGAAAACACTCCTTACCTTGTTATCTTTCTGTCCATTTCTCTTGAGGATCTTATGGGAAAGAGTGATTAGTCTAGGATTATGTTTGTGTCCCTGGGTCTCATGAATCTACAAATGTAGTTTCTTTCCATCTTTTCCATAGATTTCTCATGCACGATAGATATGTGTATGTTACTTTAGCACTTTCTGGAGCTGCCTTACAGATTGGAGAATTTCCTCTTCGCTTCTCTGCTAGGGAAAGGGAAGATTTGGAAAATAAGTGGTGTTTATTCAGGTTATGCCCTCAGAAGACAACCTGTACAACCCTGTAGCAGCACGATGGGGAGAGACCTCAAGAGCCACTCACAGTTACACATTTACTCTGGGCCTCCCTGATATTCACACTCAATTGTCCTGAATGTCCTTTATTGCTCTTAGGTAGGATTTCATATAATAGAAAATATGACTGATTATTACTCCTGTGATTTTTAAACCACTATCTAGAGTCATGGTTTTTAATCAGAGTGAAACCTCAGAACCACTTGTGAAGCTTTTCAAAAGCACAGATGTTGAAGCCCCAGACTCTAGACCCACAGAAGAAGAATCTCCAAGGGCAGACAGAATCTGGGCGTGTGTATATTTCAGTACCTCATAGGTGGCTTGACCACCTCTCCCTAATCAAGAGCACCTGCTACTGGAGTTGCTTATGTTTAAACTTGGTCATGTCAATCCCCTAGTCAAAATTCCCCAATGGTTCCTCAAGCTCTAATCTAGAGCAGTAGTTGTCTATTAAGGATACAAATCAGAATCACCAGAAAAGGTTTCTAAAAATACACATGATCAGGTCCTACCCCTGAAGTTCTGAGCATGTGCAGCCTCAGAGTTTGTGTCTGGGGTCAATGCTGCAAAGTTAGAAAACACTCCTTACCTTGTTATCTTTCTGTCCATTTCTCTTGAGGATCTTATGGGAAAGAGTGATTAGTCTAGGGCTGGATTTGTGTCCCTAGGTCTCCTAACAAAAAGATACCCTAATAATACCCAATACTCCTAACAAGTTTAAAAGCTTCTCAAAACACAGTCTGTGTTATTTTTCAGTCTTGGATATATGATGATATAACCACTGGGGGTGGGCCTGAAATTTGTTTTGGACATTAATTATACATTGGTTTCCTTGGTGTGTCTGTGCTGACTTTTGAGGATTTAGGGACAATACAACCATATTCTCAACAGCAATATATGAAAAGCAAAAACAAAACAACACAGAAACCTGTCTTGACTTTATTCTTTTCAAGCATGGCGCTGTGTTTGAAAATACACACGCCTAGGATTTCAGTTGTACCCTCGAGTGTGACCACTGAGAAGGGTGTGGATGACACTTATAGGGAATGCTGAGGTTGTACAGTTCTGTGGCATACCATGTCTAGAGAAGACTGGAGCAGGCACTGCCAACTCTGACGCTGACCAACTAACCAAGGTATAGAAGACAAGTCAAGTCTCATTACTCATGGTAGNACAAAGCAGGTTAGAGAGTGACCAGGTATTTGCCCAAGGTTTCCAAACCTAAGGCGGGGGAAACTTATAACGAGATGCTGGAGGGGCTCCCGTCCACTGCAATAACCCACATCTCACCTTCACCTGTTTAGTCAACATCTTCAGCTGCCTTTCCAGGTCTGACTTCTGCTCCTCCAGCTTGATCACATTACCTAGAAATATACGATCAGACAGGAGTTGGAGAAGTTGTGAGACTCCTGGGAGATGGTAAGCTAGGGAGCAAAGGGACAGCTCTAGAGGCTGCAACAAGCTTTCGAGTCCATCCATTCTACTGCAAGTTTACAATGTTCAGCACCCTGCAAGTGGGGAGCTAGAAGTGGGAGGTTCCTCTAAGATAGGGAATGGGAAGATTTGGAAAATAAGTGGTGCTTATTCAGGTTATGCCCTCAGAAGACAACCTGTACAACCCTGTAGCAGCACGATGGGGAGAGACCTCAAGAGCCACTCACACTTACACACTTACTCTGGGCCTCCCTGATATTCACACTTAATTGTCCTGAATGTCTTTTATTGCTCTTAGGTAGAAGGATTTCATATAATAGAAAATATGACTGGTTATTACTCCTGTGATTTTTAAACCAGTATCTAGAGTCATGGTTTTTAATCAGAGTGAAACCTCAGAACCACTTGTGACGTTTTTCAAAAGCACAGATGTTGAAGCCCCAGACTCTAGACCCACAGAAGAAGAATCTCCAAGGACAGACAGAATCTGGGTGTGTGTATATTTCAGCAGCTCATAGGTGGCTTGACCACCTCTCCCTAATCAAGAGCACCTCTGGTCCCTTGTTCTCCTTGCCTCCGATTCTCTCCATCCTGCTACTGGAGTCGCTTATGTTTAAACTTGGTCATGTCAATCCCCTAGTCAAAATTCCCCAATGGTGGGGGGAGCTCTAATCTAGAGCAGCAGTTGTCTATTAAGGATACAAATCAGAATCACCAGAAAGGTTTAAAAAAATACACATGGTCAAGTCCTACCCCTGCAGTTCTGAGCATGTGGGGCCTCAGAGTTTGTGTCTGGGGTCAATGCTGCAAAGTAAGAAAACATTCCTTACCTTGTTATCTTTCTGTCCATTTCTCTTGAGGATCTTATGGGAAAGAGTTATTAGTCTAGAGCTGGATTTGTGTCCCTAGGTCTCCTAACAAAAAGATACCCTAATAATACCCAATATTCCTAACAAGTTTAAAAGCTTCTCAAAACACAGTCTGTGTTATTTTTCAGTCTTGGATATATGATGATATAACCACAGGGGGTGGGCCTGAAATTTGCTTTGGACATTAATTGTACATTGGTTTCCTTAGTGCGTCTGTGCTGACTTTTGAGGATTTAGGGACAATACAACCATATTCTCAACAGCAATATATGAAAAACAAAAACAAAACAACACAGAAACCTGTCTTGACTTTATTCTTTTCAAGCATGGCGCTGTGTTTGGAAATACACACGCCTAGGATTTCAGTTGTACCCTCAAGTGTGACCACTGAGAAGGGTGTGGATGACACTAATAGGGAATGCTGAGGTTGTACAGTTCTGTGGCATACCATGTCTAGTGAAGACTGGAGCAGGCACTGCCAACTCTGATGCTGACCAACTAACCAATGTATAGAAGACAAGTCAAGTCTCATTACTCACGGTAGTTACATAAGGTCACTATATGTACACCGAATTAACAAATACTGAACTATTGCCCCTAAGGGAAATAGAGTTAAGTTCCTGCGAGCCTCTGGTCAAAATATTTTCATCAACCAAAGGGCCATTTACATTATCTTTGTTTGTTTGCCAATGTCCTTTAAAACAAGCCAGTCTTATCAGTATTGGACACCTGGTCTTCCCACTTCCCTGTAACACTGGGAACGTTAAAAATTCTTCCACAGTCTCCTGATCTGCAAAACCTGCCTGACATGCACATCTTTTTTTTTTAAAAAGATGACCGGTAAGGGGATCTCAACCCTTGACTTGGTGTTGTCAGCACCACGCTCAGCCAGTGAGCCAACCAGCCATCCCTATATGGGAACTGAACCCATGGCCTTGGTGTTATCAGCACCGCACTCTCCTGAGTGAGCCACGGGCTGGCCCTGACATGCACATCTTATGGTCTTTTGAAACTTACCAGCCAGCCAGCACTAGCCAAGAGGGTTTATCATTCTCCTGACCCTGGCAATATGAATGTAAATGCCTTTGGTTTTCAACCTCCAACAGTGAGGTTCTCTAAACTTTTCTTAATTTTCTCCAGTTCTCTCCATCCTGCTATTGGAGTCATTTATGTTTATACTTGGTCATGTCAATCCGCTAGTTAAAATTCCCCAATGGTTCCTCTCAAGCTCTAATCTAGAGCAGCAGTTGTCTATTAAGAATATAAATCAGAATCACCAGAGAAGGTTTAAAAAAATACTCATGGTCAGGTCCAACTCTGGCAGTACTAACTGAGCATGTGGAGCGTCATCAGAGTTTTGTGTCTGGGGTCAATGCTGCAAAGTTAGAAAACACTCCTTACCTTGTTATCTTTCTGTCCATTTCTCTTGAGGATCTTATGGGAAAGAGTGATTAGTCTAGGATTATGTTTGTGTCCCTGGGTCTCATGAATCTACAAATGTAGTTTCTTTCCATCTTTTCCATAGATTTCTCATGCACGATAGATATGTGTATGTTACTTTAGCACTTTCTGGAGCTGCCTTACAGATTGGAGAATTTCCTCTTCGCTTCTCTGCTTGTACTGATTCATTAACATTGAACTCACGCCCAACAACACAACAGATCACGCCTCAAAGAAGCTTACCTAACCCGTGCATTTTCTAGAAGGTATGTCACAGCCTTCTTGTGTTTAGGTATAGTAGACAGCGCTTCATCACTGCACTTGGGGGTCATTTTAAGCAGCAAAATCACCAAAAACAAGCATAAAAATACTAAAACTGTGGGACTAAACAGACCACGAAAAGCACACTTGTGTCCAGGATGAGAACTAAAACAATAAAGCAGAGTGTCTGTGTTCAACCTTAGTTGAGAACACAAGTGCCAGATGACTCAAAATTTTCACCTCTGTGCATGTCCAAAAATGACTGTGAAAGCGCTGTATTAATTTTGACGTTCCGAATGAATTTCAGTGAGTAGGTGAACTCACTGATACAGAATCTGTAAATAATGAGCATGGACTATACAGGTTGAAGAACTTCCCAGGCAACTGACTAAGCTATTTTTGGCAACGGCTGGTGTCACCAAAAGCTTTGTGCACTAATTCTTTTGTTACAAAAGCAAAACACATTAGACGTGATAATTTGCTAAGGCTTATTTTAACAAAGCAGTTAATGTTTAATCTAAAAAATTTCTCTCTCTCTTCAAAGCAAACTGTTCATAAGTAAGCCATGTATTGATGTCTCATCAGTGACAAAGTGGCCAACATCTGTAAGTTACTTGATATCCTATCATCAGTGGAATCCACTCTGGGATTGCTTCCTCCCTGAGACTCAGAGCACACACTGTTCATCCCCAGCATCCATCATGTGTCTCTCTGTCCATCAGATCCAAGGACAACACTTGATGACTGCAGCAAACAGTTCATTCCAAGTAACGCTCTTATTCCCAAAGAGGACGATCCTTGGGAAAGTAAGTGTGAACTCTCACCCAGCACAGTGGAACCGTCAGCACTCGCCCTAGAGGAGGTGGGGTGTCCAGAGACGGAGGCAGCGGGGTGGCTCACACACAATGTGCCCCGTACATCCAAAACGCATCTGCTCGTTTCCATAACCACCCCATGGTGGAGACTCATGTTCAACAATCTATTCCTCTGCCATCCAGTTTTCCACTTAGTTTAGGGCAATAATTATTGTTTCTTAAGTGCCATTCTCCCTGGATGACAATAGAATATTCAAAAGAAAGACACTACATAAACCCTGGCTAACACGCATTCTTAGAACTCTTCCACCGTCACCCACCCACTCCTGGTTCCTCAGTATCCTACTCACGCCTGCTCCACATCTCACCTGGACTTGACTTCACTTACTTTCTAGCTCACTAATGAGTTGGTTATTATGTAACTTGACGGCCCGGTGCTGTTCCACCTGATCTTCCAATTCAAATATGGTTTCTTTCATGTCTTTTATCTCTGCATCACTTTCTGATGCTCTCTCTTGCAGCTTTAGGCTGGTTCTGCTCAGCTGTTCTGCTTGGTGATCACATATCTCCTTTAGGTAAGAATAATCCTTTTCCACCTAGAATAAAAGGAAGGTTCCCTGGTCAGTTCAACAGTAAAGTTCCCCACAAAGCAGCAGGCTCTTCAGCACAGCAGCAGCAAAGGATGCTCTTGGCATGTGCCAATTCCAATACTCTGAGCCTCACAAACAACCAAGGCTATGAGTATTCAGAAACATGATGCATTTCCAAACGGCTAGATCCTGCGCCTCTTCCTACAAGCAGAAAGAAAGCTGCACATACTAAAATACCCTTCTTTCCCACCCCCGGGTAGCACGGTCCTGCCCTGGAGGGCATTGGTCCCACACCAGGAGAGCTGCCTGGTGCCCGCCCACAACCCCACCATCGCATCTGCTGGGCAGCAGTACCCTCTGCTGGTGAGCCAAGAACAATGCCCCTGAAACCTGACTGATCTACAAACCCCCAAACCTCCTCTTGGCTATGAGATGCTTGTGGTTATCAGCATTTCTTTAAAGGAGTTCAACAGGAGTGTGATAGAGAATGCCAGCTGAGGGCACAGAACACAGAAGTATGCACGCACCAGAAACAGAAGAGCAGGACAGCACCGTTGTTTCTCCTGTCCAATTTTTTAAAAAATTATGAAACATTTTTCAAAGGAGGAATTGGTAAAGGGACACAAAAATTCTACTACATTGTATACTGATAAAATTTTTTAAAGATGAAATAAAAGATAAAATAAAAAATTATGAAACATTTTAAATATCCAGAGAAGCACCCAAAATAACAAGATAAAGATGTACACAAACAGACTTAACAATAATTAAATTCTGCCACATTTACTAAATCTTTTGACTTTGACAATATTTGTTAAAGCCTCAATCTTCCCTCCCACTTCAGTGGATAATAAGCATTATCCTAAAATTGGTATGTGATCTTTCCTTGAATGGTTTTTCACTTTTGCTACATATGGATGTGCCCATAATACATATTTTTCTGAATGCTCTGAATGTTTTAAAACTGTTACACAAATGATGCTATACTATATTACACTTTTGTGTTGTACTGTATTATACTGCATTGTGTAATATAGTAATCTGCCTTTATCCTGTGCTATACTGTGCTTATTTATTATGCTCCTGTAACTTGTTTCCATGTTTCTGAAATGTATCCATATGGATACATCATGCTAGGTTGTTACTTTAATTGCTGCATAGTATTCTTTTGTCTGAATATACTGATTGTTTTACTATATTAATGATGCTGCAATAAACACCATCACCCCCTCTCCACAGTCCTTCAATTAACATTATAAATAGCTGTATATTATACCAGGTAATCTAAGCTTGATACCTAATAGATTTCTTAGATTTTTTCTTTCGGCAGGGGGTGGGGTAGGGGGTGATGTTTCCACATTGCAATAAATTTTTTTTCCAATTGCATTTCATGTGCAAGACCTTCTGGCTGTAGACTCTACGGGGACAGGGATCTTGTCTGCTTTATTCACCACTGTACCCGTGTCCACACAGTGTCAGACATACAGAAGGCACTTAATGAATATTTGATGAACAAATGAATGAATAAATGAATGAACAAACGGACACTGGAAGGTAGTACTGCACTGTTTTTCAACTGAGAAGGTGTGATAAGTAAGGAAGGGAGGGACGGAGAGAGAAATGGAAAGAGGGAAGGAAGGAAATAAGGACAGACAGAGCCAGCATGGGGAAGAGCCAGAGTAGACTGTCTGTGTTAAGGGTAAACATTACTCTGTGAAACTTGTGTTTCAATTATAAGAGTGTACGGCTCTGGATTTCAACATAAAATATATCATTGCAGGCTCGGGTCAAAAAAGTCCATAAGTTCCTGAAGCATTTCAAAATGGCTAAGGGTGCAGACTCTGGAGCCAGACTGCCAGGGTTTAAGTCCCAATTCTCCCAAACCAAGCCTGGTATTCTTTAATCCCTCTGCCTCAGTTTCCTCGTCTGAACAATGGGGACGGTTAAATGAAATAATGCACTTACAGAGGTTATCACAGTGCCTGGCACATAGTAAGCACTCAATAAAAGTCATTCTTTCTCTCATAATTGCTTTATGTCTACAATATTAGATAATATACTACAGGTCCATTTGACCAAGAAGATCACAATATATGGAAAAGACCAAAAGTCTTATATCTTAATGAGTTTGGAGGAGAGAGGAGGCACTGCAGGTTAGGCACTAGAAGGCTGACGTGGGAGAGCATGTGCAAGGCAGCAAGGGCAGGATCCTGGAGCGCTGCAGCCTCAGGCAGAGAAGGTCAGCTCCACCATGAGTGCTTCAGTCCTGGGGGGCCCTGGATACACCCCTACCCACTGCAAATATTAGAGCACACTCCTGAGACGGCTGTAGCGGTGCCGCACAAACATCTACTTCTCTTCCAGGAGAGTGAATAGCTGGTTGTCATGGTCTGACTATACTGAATAAAGACCCCTACAAGGTACATCGACATAGCTTTCTTTTTTAAAAAAAAGATGACTGGTAAGGGGGTTGTAACCCTTGACTTGGTGTTGTCAGCACCACGCTCTCCCAAGTGAGCTAACCAGCCATCCCTCTATAGGGATCCGAACCCATGGCCTTGGTATTATCAGCACCACACTCTCCCGAGTGAGCCACAGGCCGGCCCTTACGTAGCTTTCTTTAATTGAGTACAATGAATAAAAGCATGAAGTGTATAAAGGAGATCAAGCTAGAGGTCAACTAAAAACCAAGGTCTACACAAACTAGCCATAAGAACAGAGAAGGTAGAATAAAGACAATAAAAAGGAAGTAGGCTTATAGTTAACCCAGCAATGTTATCAATATATAAAGAACCAATAATTCAGTACATTAAAAATAAAAGCATGCTGAGATGAAAATATAGTTTAAACATTTCAGTGTTAGTTATTTTTCATAGGTTCTCATAGCAAACATAATACCTTGAAGAATTATGTTGGTTTTGAGAAATCATTTAATCATTCATTCAAATATTCACATACCAATAACACAGAGACACGGGCAGATACAGAATCAGATCATTACGGGGAGTTTAAGATGGTGACAGGTCTGGAGCGGGTGAGCCAGAAGACAGCATGAGCCTGAGAAGTGTGCGCTGTGCTGCCAGAGTACTATTTGCATTTCCAAGAGCAACAAAAAATGAATAAATCATTGATCAACTAATCTACAACGACAAATAAGCAACTACAGATTCGAGGTTTTAGGGCCGACACAAGAAGATTCCTGAGAGCGCCCAAGCCGCGCTGTGGGACCGAATGAGCAGTCTGCCAAGAAAGACGCAGAAACGGAGAGTAAGGCGCTGGACCGGCCCAGCTCTGTGAGCTCAGTGAGTGACCCCCAGCCCAGCCCCGCCTGTGGGGCAGACGCCCGCCCGGCTCCCGCCTACCACACCAGGCTAGGCACTGGCACTAGCGCTGCCTCCATTTTCTCGGGTGGAGGCGGAGCCGGCCGGCTCGGATCGGCCAGGCCTGCCCTCTTTGCTTGGCGCGGCTCTTCACTGAGCCGAGCTACTTGCATGCCTCGGCACGGGACCCCCAGGGCCTGCGGACTGGCCTACAATCCCACTCCCCCCATGGATCTCTGGTGGGGCTGGTGGTGGGGGGAGCCCCCGGCCAGCATCGGGAGGGCAGGGAAAAGGAGCCTGCCCAGATTGTCACTCCACCACACCCTGGGCTTCGGCCCCAGGTAAACTTCCTGTTTCTGGGAGGCAGATACCATCTCTGTGGCCATCAGTTCGGAAGAACCCCAAGCTAATTTCTGGTTGGGAGAGGTGAGGCCGGAGCGCTCTCGAGTTCACTTGAACCTGTCGGAGAGCTGACGGCTGGTGGGTGCCCAGGTCAGCCCGTGCTGGGGGGATACAAGGAGGAACTGTGTGCTGTGGGATCCTCCCCCGAGGAGCTCACACCTTGGTGTCAGAGATAACTCAACTACACAGATAGCCGCAGTACCGGGCAGAAAGTGAGAGGCCCAGAGGAGGCCTTATCCAGGGCCACAAAAGCACTCAGAGCGTCTCTACCAGAAACCTGAAAGTCTTCCTGGGCAGGGCAGGGCAGAGCGGGGCAGAGCACAGGCTTGAAGTACCGGCTGATAGACGAGGACTGCAGAAGACACGCCCCAGCCCTATACTGAGTGCACAGAGTGGGGAGGGGTCCGACAAAGGAGACGGAGACTCAGCAAAAAAAATACACACCCTGCGGGAAAAATACACACCCTGTGGCCCCCCCCTGCAAGGTTCAACAGCCCCACCTAGTGCTCACAGAGTGGGGAAATGTCCGGATAATGAGGTGGAAACTCGGCAGAACACACATACCCTGTGGGGCCAGCAGGGCGGACGCTGAAACACGCCAAAAGGCCCACTCGGTGTCCTCCGTGAGTTACCCCCAGAAAAATCCCACTTGCGGGGCGAAGCCCGATTATTCCCCGCCCATTACACCAGGCTGGGCGCCCACAACAAAGCTGCCTCCATTTTCTAGGGTGGAGCCAGGCAAGCCCGGAATAGTGAGGGCTGGCCAGTCATCTCTGTCTGGCGTGGCTCCCCGCTGGGACGAGCTAATTGCTTACCTTGACGCAGAGCATCCTGGGGCTTGTAGTCCCACTCGGCCCACGGTTCTTAGAAGGGGCCGGCAGCGTGGGAAACCCCCGGCCAGCCTCGGGGGGGCTGGGATGAGAAGCCCGCCCAGATCGTCTCACCGTCACACCCTAGGCGACAGCTACAGATAAACTCCCTCTTCCCGAGAGGCAGATTCCATCTCTGGGGACCTCAGTTTGGAAGTACCCCTAACTGATTTCTGGTGGGGAGAGGGGAGCCCGGTGTCCCCCTCGAGTTACATTGAAGTGTACCAGTCGGGTTTCTAAGGGAGCCGACCCAAGTGAGGGGAAGGCAAGGAGAAATTGTGGGTTGACTGACCCTCCCTCCTCCCCCCCAGTCCGGAGAATTAGGTCACCTGCTAGGCAGGGCGGGGCGCGACACAACTTTGATGACTCAACTAAAAGTCAAGGCTTATAGAAGACACGCCTCAGCCCTGTCCTG